CACCTCCTCTTCATCCTCTTCTTCCGAGAGAAGAGCTTAAGAAGCTAAGGAAATGGTGAGACTTTTCAATCACATATACTCTGTTTATACTGCACATTTTATTTCAGACGGCAGGTTAGCCCATTTGATGTCTATAAATGACACACCTTCATGATCATAAAATGTTTTGGATCAGTATTATCTAATACCTACCAATATATATGTAGATATCTGTAATATAACTAAGCAAAAGCATTATTTTCAAACGGGAAAGTGATAGTGTTACTCATTTATTAAGAGTTTATTTTTGTGGAACTTGACATTGATGTGGGTACAGTTACAGCCTGGGTTTACCCATCAGTTTTCATAGTATAAGAGGGAGAAATTTTCACCTGGGCCATCACCTCCAAATGTGTTCTGAAGAGAGTGAAAAAGCCACATAAATGAAGAAAGACTACCTTTAAGCTAATCATTGCATAGATAATAAAGGAACCCAAGCTGAAGAATGGAACAATAATGGAATACAAACACTGATCTATAAAATGGTAAAACTCTCCTCTTCCTCAAAAAACTAAAAACAAATGACTGGTTTCTTTGGGTTTATTTATTTATACATTTATTTATTTATTGTGCATTTTGTTTTGACAATTTGGTTTTGTAAAATTCTAAGACAATTTAGAAGTGGTTCACTTCTTTATATTTATCACTTATTAACATACCAGGCTGGAGCGATAGCACAGCGGTAGGGCTTTTGCCTTGCACGCAGCCAACATGGCCGACCGGAGTTCGATTCCTCCGCCCCTCTCGGAGAGCCCAGCAACCTACCGAGAGTATCTCGCCCGCACGGCAGAGCCTGGCAAGCTCCCCGTGACGTATTCCATATGCCAAACACAGTAACACCAAAGTCTCCAATGGAGACGTTACTGGGCCCGCTCGAGCAAATCGATGATCAACGGGAGGGCCTTTACCTTTACCTTTACCTTTAAACATACCAGGCATATGTTAGACACTGAAGATATAAAAGTGAATGAAACAAATTTCATTCCACAGTGTCACTTGGGGTAGAGGGTGAGTGGATAGAGTGGAAATATAAATGTACTGTTAACAGAGTGTGAGAGAGTAGAACTCTGTAGCACTTTGATTTTCTTGATGTTAAAATGCCCTTTTACCTTGGCCTTGGGCTGCAACTCGGTGATAGAGCACCTGCCTTGCCCTCGGTGTCTGAGAACATCCTCCACATACCACAGGCCTAAGAGCCCCCAAAAAGAAACACCACGACTCGACTCAAGTCTGTGCATCCCCTAGTCATTGCAACAACGACAATGGGAAGGGAAGTGGGGACAGATCAGAAGGTTTCAGGTGGCAACTACAGAAAAACATTGCTGTTTATTTGGGAATTTTGGGGCACTTTACTGCTTCTTGTCTCCAAATGTTCAGACTCCTGGAGACTGCTGATGCCCTTGGCATGGGAATCCTTGTTCTGCACTATTGGATTGTGTCGGAGGTGTCCAGGGAGGGCTAGAGTCTTTATTTGTTTATTTATTTTTAATTTAATTTAATTTTTTATAAAGTTGTTCACAATAATTTATGACATTTAATATTCCAACACAAATCCCACCCCCATTACACCTTCACACCACCATATTTCATATGTTTGCACCCAGACCCCCAAACCCTGCCCTCAAAGGAGGACCTAAATCATTTATTTTGTATTGCTTGTTATGAATAATCTGCTAAAAATGATCCAAAAAGTTTCCTTAGAGGAAAGTGTGTGAAGATTGTTGTATCTCACCCTGGAGCCAATAAGCCCTTGTATCTAAACCAACTAACAGGTTAAGCCTTGTGTGCTTATATAGATATATTTAGGCAGATATAGATATAGATATATAAATATAGATTTCTTTTTCCTCCTGCCTTCTACTTTACACCCCATCAAGTGTGGCATGCATCAGTGGTTTATAGTATCAGATGTTGAATAGCTGTGCACTCCAGGAATTCTAAAATTTTGAATATTGTTACACAGCTGAGAGTAATTTAATTTTTATTTAACTTTGGAGTCTGAAGGCATCTTTGAGGCATGTCTCTCAGTGTTGCACTCTTCCAAGAGATTTTTTGTGAATCTCTGGATTATGGGTGTAAATTAGCTTATATGGTACCACAGCAGTTCCCCCGGTGTGACTGCCAGGCTTCTGGAAGCACAGGGAGATGGGGGAGGTCACCCATCTCGACTTCCATGCACGTCTGGAGATTTTGGTCACAAGTCCCACATACCTGGGTTTTTCAGCAGATTCTCTCATGGATGAAACTCGTCCGAGCCTGTGGAGATTGGCCGTGAGCATGGTGGCGATTGAGTTCTGGAGGTTTTCAGCTGCCCGGGAGGGCTAGAGTGTTTAGATCCTGAACTGAAACCAAGTTTGTTTGATTTGTGAAGGCAAGAATTCAAGATGAGTCTGAGAAATAAAGCATTTAAAAAGGATTATTAGAGAATGGTATACACTTAAAAACCAGAGTGCCTCTGTGTTCCAAGAACAAGCCAGGTTGTTTCTAAGACTTTGTGCAAGGAACAGTTCACAAATGCAGAGTACAAACAGGCCAGGCAGAGGAGCGCCACTGATTCACACATTTCTAGGTTACTGAGGTATAGAAGTGGGGTAAATGAATAAGCAGTGCAGTTTTGGTAACATTCCAGAGAAGAGGAAGGGTGGGTTTGGGGGTGATGATTTCCCAGAGTCAAGGAGTAACTCAGATTCTAACAATGCTGCTACTTCCAAGAGGCTCTTGTGACAATTGTACAGTGGTGGTGGTGGTGGTGGGGTGGGGGGTATGACCTTGCAAAACACATAATCATGAATGTGTATTGCCGGAGATCCGGAGAGTCGGAGGCCACCTATAGGTCACCTGGTGCTCCATCTTGAATTTTCTTAGCTCCAGTCTTTGATTCAGTGCGGAAGAGTCTGAGATCTCACCGTCCTCACGTATGTGGCATTAAGAATCTGTAAGTTATTAATTCCTTTGGTAAAAGCACATTGAGCGTCCCAGCATTGTCTGTGGCTAGGCAAGAGAAAGGTGATCAAAGATGAGAGGGAATGATGTTAACAAGTTAAAGGACAGGGCACAATAATTACTAGTCCCTCCATAATAATGATCAGCACAGAGATATTTGCTGGAGCGGTGTTTGTGGTTTGTGTGTGTTTGTGTGTGTGTGTGTATATTTGTGTGTGACTGTTTGCGGGGGCAAAAGGAGGGTTATGAGGAGGGGCTTAACCACCTTGTAGTTGTTAAATTTCACAAAGTCTTCACAAAGGAAGATCTTTCCAGGATTGCAAAAGTTTCTGATTCCTTCCTCATCTGGGCCAGCTGTTGACCACATCCAGAATAGCGTTCTCCTCCTTGAACACTACAAACCAAGATGCAATAAATAAATAAATAAATAAATAAATAAAAGATGCCATCATTCTTGGATTTTAAATTCTCCTTTAGGAATCCCAGTTGATGTCTAAATGGATTTTCTAGAAGAGTACATCTTCAGAGAGCAAAATAAAGGCCCTTTTAAAAACTACACTTTAATGCATTAAAAGAGGTTACTATTTATGCCCGCTATACTATTTTAATATAGTCTCATGTGCAGTATCAAATGCCCAAGGAGAGCTTTCCCGCTTTCCCTTCTGCCCCCTGAAGTCTATGGCTGGGACTTCTAGCCTCATTGGTGGTTTGCTTTTGACTCTGCTACCTCTCAGCATCATAATGACCTAGGCCATGCCTGCAAGTAGCTGAAAACTCAAAGATCCATTGCAGAAAAATGATAGAGGATATGACTATTTTCCTATTGTATTTTTAAAACTTTGGTTTTTTAAAAAAAATTGTATTATTATTATTATTATGGTTTTAGGACCATAACCAGTTGTGCTCTGGGTTTTCTCCCGGCTCTGTTCTCAGGGATCACTGCTGACGCAGTCAGCCAGGACCATATGTAGGGCCAGGGATCAAACCCCAATCTGCCACGTGCCTGGCCCGTGACTTACCGGCAATACTGTAGCTTCAGGCCTTGTATTTATTATGGATCAGGTTACAGGAGGAATATAGTCTTGAGCTCTGGTTCTGATGCCCAAAGTCACTGCACCCTTTACTGCCATATCGACCCCCTCCCCATTTATACTCTGGGTAGCAAGTTAGCAAAATCAACTCACAGGCAAAGAAACATAAATAAATAAATGAATTAGAAAGCAAGTCAAGAACTGTGTCTAGCTTTAGAACAAAACAAAACCAAACCCTTCAGCCTGCGAAAGATGAAAAAAGCCGGCAAACTCCAGTGCCTGGCGTTGCCGCATCAATAAACGTCCCCGTCCATGTATGTTGTCTGGCACAAAAGCGGGACAAGCCCCTGCATTCAGCCCGGGGCCTGCAGAGGCCCGGCCGGGCTAGGTCCTTCACTACACCGCGCGGGGAGCGAGCAGCGCAGGCGGGGCCGGGATGCGAGCGCTGCCCGGAGCCCGTGGATGCTGCGGAAAGGATGCCCTGAACGGGGCCGGCGGATGCTGCGGGAAGGATGCGCTGTCCGGAGCCCGCGGATACTGCGGGAAGGATGCGCTGCCCAGAGCTCGCGGATGCTGCGGGAAGGATGCGCTGCCCGGAGCTCGCGGATGCTGCGCGAAGGATGCTCTGAACCGAGCCGGCGGATGCTGCGGGAAGGATGCCCTGAACAAAGGACGCCGCCCGCAGGAGGGGCCCGGGCGCCGGGAGCCGCTGCTCGGGGCGTGCTTCGCGCCCAGCTCTGACGGCCGAGGCTCCCTCTTCCTCCTCCCCACCCCCCTCCCCCTCCTCCCGGGAGCACCGTCCGCGCGAGCCGCGCCGGGCTCTCTCCCCGCGCCCCTTCCAGGCTGCCCTCCGCCCCTCTCCTCCCTCCTCCCGAGGACCCAGCGGGAAGCCGGCGGGGAGCGGACCCAGTAGCGCCGCCGCGGGCCCCGGCCCTACTCCGCCCACAGTGCTCCCCTGCGCGGCCGCCCCGCCCCGCCCCACCCCGCCCCCCGCCCGCTCTTCCTTTCCGCGCTCCCCTCCCCCACCCATGCGGCCCTGCCCCCGCCGCCCGCCTGGTGACACATCCCGGGGCCTCCCGGGCCCGCGGCCGCCGCAGTCATGGCAGCGGACGGCGTGGACGAGCGCTCGCCCTTGCTGGCCGCCCCGCGCCCGGGCACCGTCACCCCCAGCGCCCCGCCGTACCTGCAGGAGGGCAGCCCCCGAGGTAAGCCCGGCCCGAGCCCCGGGGTGCCCCCGCCCCGCACCGCCACGCGGGCTGCGAGCCGGGTGGGTGCAGGGGGTGCCGGTGTGTGCGTGTGTGTTGTGTGTCCGTGTGTGTGCGTGCTCCGACCCAGCCAAGGGTGCAAAATGTGGTATGTGTGTATGTGTGTGTGCACCGACTCAGCCAAGGGTGCAAAATGTGATCTGATGTGTGTGTGTGTGTGTGTGTGTGTGTGTGTGTGTGTGTGAGTGTTTGTGTGCGCACCGACTCAGCCAAGGGTGCAAAATGTGATCTGATGTGTGTGTGTGTTTGTTTGTGTGCGCACCGACTCAGCCAAGGGTGCAAATGGTGATCTGATGTGTGTGTATGTGTGTGTGTGTACCGATTCAACCAAGGGTGCAAAATGTGATTGTGTGTGTGTGTGTGTTTCACCTACTTCTTAACCGGGGCTGCTGCAAGATGTGACATGAATTTCCCCAGCGGGGCTTTGCAGTTTCCCAGCTGTCGCTAAGCGCTGCGGGGAGGTACTGCAAATCTTTCACAATCACCCACAGATCCATTCAGCTTGCAGAGAAACCCGGACTGAGTTGGGCTGTGCTCACCTTTGGCATTCTGTCCTTGAGAGGGTTTCGCTTGGGAAAGAGGCGGCTTTTGTTATTCGCCCACCAGAGCTATTGTAACACAGGAGAGGGAAGAGCGAGAATCAATATTCTTAATATGTCTGAAATGCCGGCCTTGCCCCCTGCTTCTAAGAAGCTTGAGTGGTGAATGAGGAGGACGAGGGGGGTGCTGGGATATTTCCAGGGGCCATCTGGGTAAGATGGAAATGAACTTATCAGAAAGTAGCCCGACTTAATACTGCATGTATTTTGAGTGCACTTTGATTTCTCAAGATAGACAAAATAAAATAAAATGTCATGGAAGTGAGCTATAAAGAAAGAAAAGGAAGGATCTCGTTTCCTAACTATTCATGCTACTCAAAGGTCAATCTTTGTGCAAGTCTCTTTGGTTGATTCTGATAGCAGAAGTGAGGTAAGGTGGGGCCAGGACTTCTAGAAAATGGAAGGCATGACTCTGAAAAACCAGGGGAGTGAGAGGTGGTCAGTTCTAGCAGTGACAAGGGAAAATTAAGCGCGCCTCTCTGGTTTGGGCTGAATCGGAGGGAAGTTTCAAGCCCAGGAAAGCGAAAGCTCACAAGCTCATTTTGAAAGTACAGACAGGTCACATTTCTTGCGGGCATCTCCGGGAGTTCAGATCTGGAGATGGAGCAGCTGTAGAGCAGGTTAAACTTGTCTGGGATTTAACATTTTTCAGTGCATTATACCTTGAAAAGCAGCAACGCAGATCTTAATCTATACGCAGATCTTAATCTATACGGCACTCACTGGGGGTAGGACAAAGAAAGGCAGGTAGTTGTGAATAGTTCTGGGTGATCAATGAGCTGAGAAGTAAGGTGCTGAGACTCCCCACACAGAAATGCTTATCTTTCAGCTTTAACTTGGTCCGAGAACAGTAGGTAGGAGATTCCTTTTAACCTGAACATTAGATATTAATATTTAACCATCGAAATGATCTGGTCTCATGTCCCCATAGATTGCATAACTGCCGCCACCTTTTTTTTTTATTGTTTGCTTTTTAGAAATTTATTTTAAAATAAAAACCAGGCTTCAATTTTATTTATTTTCAGTGAGGGCTCACTTCCGATGAATGTTCATTCTATAAAACGTCCTCGGAAAATTCCTCAGGGGTTAAAGTGGAAAAAGTCCTGGTGTAGAATAAGTTGGTATACTTATCAATTTGTTTTTTGGTTTGGTTTTTGCATTCACGCCTGGCAGTACTCAGGGCCTTCTTTCAGCTTGGTGCCTGGGGCTTGCTCCAGCAATGCTTGGGGGACCATCTGGTATCAGGGAATATGCCTGGGACCCCACCCCCCCACCCCCACGCCAAGCGGGCCATCCAGTCCTTCCAACTGCCTCCTCCGTTCCTCAATGGATATTTTCATTTCATCCAGTCACTATCAAGTTTATTAAGGAACAAGTTGTATTTTGTTCTTGAGCGCTGTGGGTCTTGAGAATAACCAAGTGGCTATTGAGTGGCTAGGCAACGCGAAAAACGCCTTTTAAAACGCCTGAAGCCCCAGCCTGGTCCCCAGGGCCACCTGAGCATGTTCTCAACTCCCGGCTCCCTTGGATCCCAGCACTGCATCCGAGAGAGACAGCACAGCCGGTGCCACTAACGTGTGTTATTACCCTAGTAGCAACTATAGAAACAAAAAGATGAGCCAGCACTGTGGCCACAAGTGAGCCCCTGTGAGGACGTGTGTGGTGCCCTGTTGTGTGTGCGCGCATCACAGTTGCATGACAGACCCTCGAGTGGGCCCTGTGCAAGCATCACAATTGAAAATGTTGAAATACCCCTCCAGGTCACCACAACCGGGTGTTTGATGTCCAGATACTACAACAAAAGCAGCAGCAAAGGAAAGGACCTTCAAATAAATAAGAGATAGATTAAAACAAAGGAAAAAATTTAAGGAGGACAGGGTAGGAAATAAAAAAAATAATCAAGGGGGAGAAGGACAGGGTAGGAAATAAAAAAATAATCAAGGAGGGTAAGAAAGGTGATGAGAAAGGAAAATAATGAGTTAACAGTGGTTGGAACTTCAATTCCGTTGGAGATGCAGATGAGTGGGATGGTTATATGCGGAGAACACAGACTCCACAACACTGAAAGCGTGAGATCTAAACTGCATCACAACGTTGTGGCATCACATCACAACGTTGTGACATGCCTGGCAAGGTGGCAAGGGGAGGGACTCTGAGGGAGGAATGTAGTATGGGGTCATTGGTGGGGGGAGGGGAAGTTGTTGACACTGGTGGGGGGATGGGACTGGTCTTGAAATATTATATGCCCAAAACTCAACTATCAGTAGTGTTGTAAATCAGTTCTTAAATTAAAAATTATAAAGAAAATACGCCTTTGGGCTGGAGCGATAGCACAGCAGGTAGGGCGTTTGTCTTGTACGATTCCCAGCATCCCAAGTGGTCCCCCTGAGCACTGCCAGGAGTAATTCCTGAGTGCATGAGCCAGGAGTAACCCCTGTGCATTGCTGGGTGTGACCCCAAAAGGAAAAAAAAAAGAAAAAAAGACACCTTTATTCCCGATAATGGAAGAGGAAGAAAGAAAGGAAGGACAGGGAGAAAGGAGAAAAGGGAGAAAGAAGTTTGAGTCTAAACAACTCTCCTGTAACCAATTTTCATGCCTTCTATCATGTCTTCTATCTTGTATCTGGTTTGTACCTTTGGTTGACTAGTGGTTAATTTCTTTTTTTTTTTTTTTTTTTTTTTACTTTTTGGGTCACATCTGGTGATGCACAGGGGTTACTCCTAGCTCTGCACTCAGGAATTACCCCTGGCGGTGCTCAGGGAACCATATGGGATGCTGGGAATTGAACCTGGGTCGGCTGCGTGCAAGGCAAACACTCTACCAGCCCCCTGGTTAAATTATTTTTAAGAAGTGATCACACAATCCTTTACTTGTTTGTAGATATTTTTATAAAATCATGTCATATTTCCAATCTAACTCCTCAATGTATACATAAAGTACAAATTCTAGTGCAACCACCGAGAAAAAGGAATTTCATTTCAAAAAATTTTTGAAAACTTAGGAAATGTAATGAGTTGACAAAAAGCTTTCCGTGCTTTTATATATATATATAGAGAGAGAGAGCAGCTGGTTGATGAGACAGTTTAGAAAAGTAGAAGCACTCATTTCATATGACTTAATACCTAGTAAGCAAGATGTGTAAGTAAATAGTAAAGGATTTTCATTTGTCTTTTGGATAGAATATCTTCAACAGCAAATCAGTATTTTCGTAAATATTTTTGATAAGATGCAGAACCTAATACCAGGAGCCAGAGCTGTTTATTCCAAAGTCTCTGGGCGGCACTGTGAACGAGCAAACCCAACCAACCCCTTCTCTTCAGGGAACTCAGATGGAGAGAGAAGGAAGCATACTTAGACATATGACTGAATTATCCCAAGAGGTAACAGACATTTGCCATGGCTCTAGATGCTCCAGGAGTTGTCAACAATTAGAACTGAAGCTGGGGGTTGAAAAGAATAGAGGTGTATTTGATGGTATTGGGCTTAGTTGTGTGATATCATAATGAATCTGATCTAGGGGGAGGGAGTGTTTGGGCCACACCTGGCAGTGCTTGGTGACTATTCCTGGCTCTGTGTTCAGAAATGACTTCTGAAGTACTCAGGGGACTGTGTGCAGTACAGGGATTCGAACTGGGATCCAGGCCACCATAACCACATGCAAGAAAAGTGCCTTTATACTTATACTAGATCTTCCACCCTAACCTGATTTTGGGAGGAAAGGCAGGTTTGGGGACACAGCTGGTGGTGCTCAGGGCTTATTACTGACTCTGCACTCAGGGATCACTTGTGGTGGGCTTGGGGGACCATATGGGGTCCTGGGAATTAAACCAGGGTTGGACAGTCAGGACAAACACCTTACCTCCTCTATTCTTGTCCTAAAAGTTGATTTTTCAGAAAAGAGATTAAAAGCCACAACTAGTGTGTGATTTTTCCACTTTATGTTTTGCTGTTGGTGTCACCTGCTTAGAATGGGACTGTTACTAACTTCTGACCCAAGATGAAATATTCTGTTTCAAGTTGGGGAGTTCCTGTACAATTCTTTCTCCTCTCTTCAGGTTCTTTGCCTGCTCTAATAAACATATCAACAACTTAGCGGTTAACGGGGAACGTTTTTAATTACCTAGGACAAGTTGGGCAATTAAAGCTTCTTATACCATTCTGAGCTAAGGATTAGGTAAGAGTGTGGGCCTTTAGGGGGAATTCGCAGGATCATAGGATCCTAAGAACAGCAAATGACGGCTAAGTACATGTTTGACCTGCCGTGCAGTTAAGTTATTCAGGTTTAAAAAAATGTGTCTCTGGTAAAAGTTTTCACTCTAGGTCAAACCTTCTCTGAATTG